CTTAGTGGGAGTATTCCTCCATCACTTGGGAAATTATATAATCTAAAAAATTTGTAAGTAGCCTCGTTTTCTTTTCATAGTTCTTCTCTTCTTTACTCATATCTCGTGTTGATCTATTATTTGAAGAAAAACTCTTATTGTGGTCTTATTTGGTACTTTTTTAGCAATGTGTCGTTCAATTTTCTGGTTGGACCAATACCTTTGGATGCTGTGCTTGCCAACTTCCCTGAAAGCTCGTAAGTACTGTTCCCCCTATTGATTAGTGATATTAGATTGTCTGTCCTAATGTAGTAGCCTACTTCTAAGATGCAAATTTATACTTCTCATGGTGCAACAAATATACTTTGCTGCAGCTTTGTTGGAAATCTTGGTTTGTGTGGGGTGCAAATCAATACAACGTGTGAGAATAATGGTTTGCCTAATTCCAATCCTCAATCTTCAATGTCAGGTAAAGCTGAAACCATTTAAATGAATCTACTGAATTCTTCATTTGCCCTGGCAACTAAATTTCTTTTATTGTTTTATTGATATTTGTGCCTTTTATCTTAGTAAAAAATTTTAAAAGCAATACATTTGGGGTTTCAGCATCAGAAGTTGTGTTCTAGGGATCTGACCAATTCTTAACTGTGATCTTTTATTTGTTCATTTTTAGTTATTTGATTATTGTTTGTGATGGCGGGAATTTTGTGGTCATATACTTTTAGATTTGGGCATACGAGGAAATATAATGCAGCATACGTTACCTGTAAAGGAAATTTCACCCATGGACTTCATCCATAAGCATGCCTTTACCCCTTGTTTTCTAAAAGATTCCAGCATTGCATATAAACCAGAGACACTAAATGGCAAAATACATTTGATTGCACCTATCCATAAAACCTTTCCCACCATACTCCTTCCTACCCATTGATTTTACCCTACAAACCCAGATTCCACCAGAGACACTAAATGTTTTCGATGATCAATTTTACTTGAAATGTACCTGGCTGCTTGGTAGTGTAAAAGTAATTAAGCACCATTTTTGGAGCCATTACTACAAGTCTTTATTGGGAAAGTCATGTGGCAATTTCAGGTGATACTGTGAAAGTAAGATGATTCTTTCTCTATCTGGTTTTGTTTTATAGAAATAGTATAATGGCCTTTATTGTTAGGTTATGTTTTTACAATATAGCCATTAGCCAGGGGATTTCTTTCATTTGCAATTCCAAACAGTACAAGCAAACAGGTCCATAGCATGTGTCTGGTTTTTATGTTCTCTGACCTCCTGAATGGACTAAATAATCTGTTTGATGCAATTTCCGTTTGGAGCAATTTTGCATGCTTAACTGGACTGCGGTATTACTGTTTTGACTTTTTAATAGTGTTACTTTCTATAGACCAAAATCAAAGTGGAAAAAGGAAAGATTCTGGCCGGTTGCTTATTAGTGCATCAGCAACTGTGGGTGCACTACTTTTAGTGGCACTTATGTGCTTCTGGGGTTGCTTTCTTTATAAGAAGTTTGGTAAAAATCACAGAGAAAGTCTAGCAATGGATGTCTGTGGAGGTAAGTACCTTAGCTTGATGTTGGCTGCTTGTTGGCCTTTTTGAGCTTGTTTTATTTTCTTAGCTTTCTGAAATCATAAATGCTCCAAATTTAATCTCTTAAATCTTGCAGGGGCATCTATCGTAATGTTTCATGGAGATCTACCATACTCTTCAAAAGATATTATTAAAAAACTAGAGACTTTAAATGAGGAACACATAATTGGTTGTGGAGGATTTGGAAAAGTTTACAGGCTTGCAATGGATGATGGGAATGTATTTGCTTTGAAAAGGATTGTAAAGTTAAGTGACGGCTTCGATCGATTTTTTGAGAGAGAGCTTGAAATACTTGGTAGCATCAAACACAGATATCTTGTGAACTTAAGAGGATATTGCAATTCACCTTCATCAAAGTTGTTAATTTATGATTACCTAGCTGGTGGTAGTCTTGATGAAGCTCTTCATGGTAAGATACCTACTAAAAACATCACCATATTTTCATCAGAATATTGATGCATGCTGCAGCTATAATGTTGGAATTTTCTGTGCACTATTAAAGGTTAGTCTGTGGTCGTCAATTCTAGTGTGTGGTAATTTTTTCTTACCTGTTCAGGATTCTTTATAATCTCAAGAACACAATAGCATCTTTGATAATGATATTGATAAATAGTCCAAGCGAGCTAAAATGTGGGTGGATCTTTTCAACATAATAGCATTTTATAGGCTTTTCAACAAATTGCCTTAATATCAGTCATGCTTTTATTACTTAGTGCACCTTGACATAGTCGCATCAGCTATAATTGTTTTTCAGCATAATGTAAGTTTCATTTTGGAATAAGCATCTTCATTGCTTAATGGATAAAAATATTTGGGGAGAATGATGTTTTATGATGCATTAAACAGAAAGATCTGAGCAGCTTGATTGGGATTCACGCTTGAATATCATCTTGGGAGCTGCAAAAGGGCTTGCCTACTTGCACCATGATTGTTCCCCTAGGATCATACACCGTGACATAAAATCAAGCAATATTTTGCTTGATGGAAACTTGGATGCTCGAGTCTCTGACTTTGGACTTGCCAAACTTTTGAAGGATGAAGAATCTCACATCACTACCATTGTTGCTGGAACATTTGGTTATCTAGCTCCAGGTAAGCAATATAAATGAACATCTCTAGATAATCTTCGAGAATATCTAGTGTTGTAATTAGGTAATTTTAGGCTATACTCCCTCCAATCCTATTTATAAGATATTTTTTACCAAATCACACATTAACAAAGGTGGGTAAAATTAGTTAACAGTATTTTTTTCCCCAAAATTTTCTATAGAAATCCTAACTTACCTCTTAATTAAAATTATTAATTTTACCTTCAAATCTTAAAGTCAAACATGCCACCCAAATGAACCAATTTGATATGTGGGCATTTTTGGAGATAACTCATCAAGGCTTCATCAAGTTTTATAAGGTGTCTTACATTAAAAACCAATCGAAGTTTCTAAAAAATGTCTTATATTAAGGACTGGGGGGAGTATATATATGCATGGTCCGTAAAGGCAGATTTAGATTGAAAAAGTTATTAGAATTTGATCAAGAGTAGGAGTTATTCTGATGTTTAGATGACCTCAAGAGATGTTAAAAATGATTGTGGGGGTGCTGTTTCGGTACCATTTATTCTGAATTTTATCTCTTCAGAGAATAGCTGATCCCTGCTTGTTACGTTTTTCTCTCCACACTTTTGCTAACATTATTGTAATATCATTTTCTTGATTTGTGCATGTCATCCTTGCACGGCCTAAAATGAGGACGAAAATTTCCCCCTGGACATAATGATGTTAATACTGTCAATCTATACATGTGTTCATAACTATATTATGTATTTAACAAATTTGTGACACTAAGATGGGGTGGTTCCTTCTGGAGTTCGCTAAAAGTTTTGGTTTTACTTTCTAATTCCTTTGTTGTCTGATGAAGCATCTGTTGCTCCATGGCAGAATATATGCAAAGTGGTAGAGCAACTGAAAAGAGCGATGTTTATAGTTTTGGTGTCCTGGTACTTGAAGTGTTAAGTGGAAAGCGGCCAACAGATGCATCATTCATTGAGAAGGGCCTCAATATTGTTGGTTGGGTAAGGCCATACAGAGCTTTAAGTAGAATTGCTTTTCTTGTGCTGTTTGTTGTAGAAATACTAGTTTCCTCTTTAAAATGACACTCATTAGAGTATTCTTTTATTGCTTTGAGATCACATAGCCTTTTCCCAAAATCTTAGGTAGCATTTAGAATGTGGGCATTTAAGTTTGATGCTTTCAGGAAGGTTATTTTATAGCACAGATTTAATTGATTATTTAAACAAAACAAAAAAAGTCACTCACATGTAACCTAGGACACATGCAACATCCTTCTGGTTACTGCCAAAACATTAAAACCATACATCATATGCGATATTAAGAAAGAATTCTGGATTATAAAAGGAATAATGAAGTGGATAGAGGTAAAACTGCAGGAAAACCAATAAATGATCTTCTATCGAGAACTCCAGCTTTCCACTGAAAATATTGTTCTGCCCTCGAGCTTTTTTGTTCTGCTTCTTGATTGAAGTAGATGAACGTGCAGCCCTTTGTATGTAATACTCTTGTATATTTCAAAACTGGGCTCTCGATTTCTTTCCTGGTTCTGTACTCTGAATCCGTAATTTGATCTCTTTGGTTCCTCACATCTGTTTGTTCGAGTGCATTGGCTGTGTCATGAGATTGAAATCGTTGCTAATGATGGGGTTGCTAATTGTGGCAGTTAAATCATTTAATAACTGAGGACAGGGCAAGAGATATAGTCGATCCGCAATGTGAAGGAGTGCAGGTAGAGAGCCTGGATGCGTTGCTTTCTGTTGCTATACAGTGTGTATCATCGAGTCCGGATGATCGACCCACAATGCACAGAGTGATCCAGTTGATTGAATCAGAGGTGATGACCCCATGCCCAAGTGACTACTATGATTCCAACTCTGAATAGAAGCCCAAGCCGTCATGGGTTTATGTCACTTGTTACTCAGAAATGTGATGTGAGTGGAAGGGGCTTAGAATTCTAGCCGCAGATTTATGATCAATCCCTTCCCCACAACCTCTTCTAAACTGGGAATTCAGGTTCCTCACGTGCTGTTACCATGTGTTGAGACTTACTGTGTCTGTGAAGTTAATTTGAAAATGTTATTCATTGAATCTTGTCTTCCTCTTTCTTTGGTTACAGTTTGTGATGTAATTTTTAATGTTCGCATTTAATCACACAAGTGTATATTAATTTGCATAAATTGAGAACGCCCTCCTCAGCAAATCATTCGATTTCCTTTCCTTTTCACCCTGAAGAAAAGGCAAGCTGCGATTTGAACCTTGCTTGTAGCGGCCAAACATGTATAAATCTACAGGTGACTTTTTTTTTTATTTTTTTTTGTTTCGGTTCCGAGCAGTTTTGCTCATCAGGCCAATGAGGCACTTAAACCACACATTGGCATTTCTATAGTTTCTTGTTACATTAAATCTATTACATTTCAAACTGACAGGATCCTTGATCAGCATTCCATATCCAAATAAACGAATATTCAAGCCAATTTTGGATCAGATTTACCAGGAAATTTAGTCATCGATGAAATAAACTCGCGCGCTTTATGTACTAATCCACGGTTAGGTTCTTGGATGGTAGCAAGCAACCAGCGGTAATCTGATATCGTTGAATCAAACAATGGCTCAAGAAACTCACACCGATCTAGTATTTCAGGCGGTGGGGCTCCGGCAATGAGATTGGTATCTAGTCTTGGTTTACCCTTTGTAAGCTCGGTGGGAACATTAGCCGAAGGAACATGAAGAGCATTAGGAGAGGCACCTGGGACCACCTCTTGTTTAAAGGGCAGTGCTCTAGCAGCTTGCAGACAGAACTCTATCCACTGATGGATTAGTGGGGATGGTCCCCGGATTCGGCCGCCAATCCGGTTTGTTTGAATCCGAGAGGCAGCTGGAATTGCCTGCAAAAGGAAAAAGACAACAAGTGAGAAAAATGCCTACTAAGAAGGAACAAGAAATAATCTGAATTTAATGTTGGCATCATTAACTACGTATATTTGGATCCCCTTTAAATAATTATTCAATAATTTTTTCCTATCAGCCAAAGGTCTATGTGATTTACTCAACTTTATCAAGGATCTCAAGATATCTCTACATAATGAAATGGAAAATGAATTGAAAGAAGTTATTTTAAATATAAAATGCCTTTTGTATTCCAACTTTTAAAAGTAATAAGATCTAGTTGATGAATTTGTTTTGTAACTACATGTAAAACCTTAAATCTCCTTAGTCTCCCTCATTTATTATTATTTTTTGCCAAACTATCCCTATTCATAGCACGCAATCAACATGGGAGGTTTCGAATGTAAATGATTAAAATTAGATATTTTAGGGAAACTGACACACATTTGTAGAAGTCACTGACTTACCGATTTTTTTTTAATCTATGTGAATTAATTAACTAGTTCCTACATTTAGGACCGGTAGGAGTATTGAGTAATAATTACAATAGTATAATCTATAATGGGCAATGCAAACTGTGGAAGGAATCATGCTCCTCTCTATTCACCAAACAGGACATAAGGCAGCAAAACATAAGTACCATACCCAAAGATCTGCCCATAAGCTAGCTCCAGATTTTGGAACAACTACTGTGACATTAGACATGCGCTTGGCAATAGGAATGATGTCGCTACTCCATCCAACAGTTACCCACACATCTCCAACTCCAAAAGCTTTCAGATAGTGAACGCTGTCAAACAGCCGAACCTAAATAAAGCCAATTGTTACAATTAAATTTGTAATTTGGACAGAAAAAAGAGAGAGAATCTTTTCTCATTAATTTGCATAGCTCAGTAACATTGGTTCCAACTATCTTGCACATAGCAAAAGCAACAGCAGCAGTTGAGACTAGAGAGATTGTCTTTGTAGTACCTGCTTTCCAAGTAAGGCTAGATTGTGCTTAACAGCATCTCTCCCGCCATTTACTTGCAAATTAATGTCGTTTGTATTGTATGAGGCTCCCATATACTTCAAAACTGCACCAATAACCTCTCTGGGAGAATCGACCATAGAGATTCTTCCTGCAAGTTCTGACCGCCACAAATCTGCCCAATCCTGCATTTACAGGTTATATACTTCCAGAAAAAAATAATATTCCTAAAAGCTTGATAAATGATAGAGAGCAATGACATAGTGCAATCCACATAATCGACCCCACTTAGTAGGATAAGGCTTGTTGTTGTTGTATACTTACAGAAAAGATGCACAAAAAATAACATTGACTCTAACCCAAAAAAAAAAAAAAAAAACACTTACCTCTATAGGAGCCAAATTATGCTTCCGAAATTTGTTTTTCTTGTAAGCTATAACCATGCAGCCCCATCGATAAGGAGCAGCCCATATGTCACCGTTAGGATCAATTTCTCCCTCACTATTCCTGCGTAGGTATACCTGGAACTTATTCAGTGAATACAACATTATACTATAAAAAGATATTCCAACGGTATAGGTAACTAAATTAGGACATGCTATAATAAATGTAAGGTCTATGCTAAAGTAATCAAGTTGAGAGTACTTAAGATATATACAATACAACCTTCTTTCAGAGTCTGTCTTTGATTGTCAGTTGTGGTCCTTTATGGAAAGCTTGAGCAGGCTTCTGAATATTGATTTAGTAAAATTTTACATTTTTGCAAACAAACGTAGGTGTCTATCTGGTGTTATCTTTCACGTTAGATAACATTTTGCATAATGTTCATTTTATATCCAGGTTATCAGACCCTATAATACTAGCGTGGTAGAAAACAAAGAAATGCTAATGGAAACACATTATAGAGGTAATTCTCTTTCTGAATTTCTATCCTCTTTCAATTCTTTCACAGATTGTTCATCAGTTTTGCTTTCACTCTGAGTTTTTGAATATTAGTCCTCCACACCTGAATTGGGGGTGGGGACTCGGGACAGGATACTTAAGTTATTCCGCGTCAAAAGTTATAGCACATTATAATAACAAGTTTGGCACGGTACCCCCATCAAGCATGAAGACATCATCTCGTGTTCTGTGCCACTTCCCAACCTCTTCTTTTACTTTATTACCAGAATTTTTTCACTTTGCATAGTTTTGATTTGATTATCATAAACCCCCCAGAGGCGCCCTTGCATGCTTTTTGGTTCCCTCCTTCCCATTCTTCTATGTCGGTTGCTCCAACCAGTTTCTGTTTGATGAAAATTCCCAAAAGAAACCAATATCATCTTGTTATGAATTTGATGGAGACTTAAGCAAGCAGGAGGAACTCACCCTTAAAACCAGACCTCTTACCCCATGGACTTTACGTGGCACCACCAATGTGCGAATCCATCAGATTTCTTGCTTGGTCATCATCTTATGATCTCACAAAGGTTAATAGAAGCGCATACAAATACGTCTTACTGACAAGTGCACGCATACACTGATACACATTACTACCGAGTATTATCCCTTTGTTTTCCTCTATTCAGACCTCAAATATTCCCAAATGCCTAAGGGTCAAGGTGGGCTCATCAAATGTAAATGAAACTATGCTCAGAAGAACAGTTCTTGATTACCGATACGCAATTAAAAGCTGAGCCAATATATGCTGAGAAGACCATTTTTAGGAAGAGATGCAAAATAAATGGTTACCTTCCATCTCTCATCGAGGCCTTTAAACCAATCCTGGTCATCAACATCACGTATTGGTTCAATTATAGCTTTGTTGATGGCAAATTTAAGCCAGGAGTCACCGATACCAACAATATCAGCTGCCAAAGCAGAGGCAGGCCCAATATTTCCTTTAGTAAACGGAATTGACAGATTAGAGAAAATACTCTCGAGACTTGTATTATACTTCACATTAAACTTTAGCCTTCTCCCCTGAGATTTTATGAAGTCCTAAAAGTAAGAAAAATCAGCATGAGAAGCTATGAAATAAAAAATTATTGCAAATTTAACTAGAATAAGAAATCTTTTTTTTTTAAAAAAAGGGAATATGTGGCATGAATTGCATAACCAAAGACAATAGCAATAGGATTTTAGGTAAATTTCAAGCAAAAACCTCACATTTTCTGAGAAAGAGAACAGAAAGAGAACCAAGAAGGGAGAGAGAGGAAAGGTGAGAAATTTAATAAGCAACATTATAGCACTAAAACTATGACTTTAAGAGGAGAGTTAAGAAAAATACCACACACCTTGATCCATGATGGAGGCACAGAACCGCGTAGAGCAACAATTCTGAGAGGCACAGTCAATGCATACGTTTTAGATTTCCAAGCATTAAAAGCTGCTTCTAAATCCTTATCTAGAATATCTTCCGTGTTGTTATCCTGTTCTCTTCCTTCATGTTCATCTACAACCATAAAACCATGAATCATGTTTAACAGCCAAGCCTTTCAAAGTTTATCTCATAACAGCGATAGCATACAACCCACAAATAAAAATCAGTTCAATGAGCAAAATGTAGGACCAATCCTTAACTAACAAGCTAGAACTGACGGGATGCACATATTGATCATGCCACAAAGTGCAAGATACAACAACTTTAAGAAATGAATACAGGAGAGAGAGTGTGTTCAACAAATCAATTCGTTAAAATGTAAATTGAGAATTAAAAAGACATATCAAATACAAAGTAAAGCAGAAATGATAAAAAGAGCTAATATTAGAGTTTCTGGTCCAAATCAATCTTCATCTGCATCCATATTACTAGCATCCTTTTTAAGCTCTTCTTCCAAAATTGATTCATCAAAAGCCGAATTTACAACTTTAAGACCTCCAGCCCTATCAAACTGCTTTTAATAATCTCCACTAACATGTACTTTTTGCTCTTCTTTGATTAAAGATGAAGGTTGGCATGAACACAAACCAAGCCTTCTGCCCTTTCCGCATTCATCTTGTTCCTTTTTATTGAGTGAATAAAGAATAGGAGATTCGAGTCCTTTCACGAGATGATGAGCATGATCGCCCAAGAAGCTTCAATGCAAATCTTGAAAAATGAGGTATTGAAGAACCATAGTTTATCCACTATATTTTCGGGTTTAAAATCCACCTCTCTTGGAAGAAATCAAAAGGTGAATGCATCCGAAGCTCCAGAGTTTATAAAATTCGTAAAGGACCAACATTCTCTCTTTAGGATCTTCAAGGTACATATTGTAATGTTCGGTTCTCCCGGTTGAAATTTTAACATCTTTAAGTTCCATTTGCCCTTCAATCTATTGATAACACTATTGATCCCCACATATACGTGCATCTTGGCTGACAAGTGACATGAATAAGGATTAAGCCTTAAGAAAAGTATGAAAACAAATTTATTAGTGTTACCAGAACGGCAGTACCACTAAAAAGATCTCTTACGCATAAATATAGAGCTAAAAACGAAATATCAGTCAAATTAACTACAAAAAGAAAACATCGTAACTCGTAAATGTACATGGCAAGTCGTTTGATACCTTCCGTTGCCTGGTTATCTTGAAGCGATGAAGAAGAGGCGGGAAGAGTAGGCGGAGAAGCAGAACTTACACGAATGCCAATGCAAAATCCAAAGCCAATAAACAGCACTACAGAGACAGCGAGGCGCACGAAAGTCAGAGGTAAGTTGAGAGGCTTCACTGAATATGCCTGATACTCATCGTTAACAGTGGCTGCCATCGAAAGAGGTATCAAATTCCGGCCACCGGAGAATACAATTGTGCCACTAGATCGAAATAGGGCTTTTCTTGAGCAGGAGATAAGAAGCAAGGAAGGTTTAGGCTTTCGCAAATGATAAAAGCGAAGGGGTGAACCAGCAGATAGTGGGAACAGTGTTGGAACCAAAGCAGCCATAGCTGGACGGGCACACTTCGAAGCTCTCGTTCTATCAAATATTTTATGCTTTTATAACAAATTTAAAATTTAAATTTAAAATATTTTATGCTTTTATAGCAGGACGGGCTCACTTCGAAAGCAAGATTTGCAAACCCTTAAGCTATCAATTAAAGGACCAAAAATATCCTATCTCTTCTTTACAGATGATTTAGTTTTGTTTGCCGAAGCTTCTCTAGAACAAGCCAATATTGTCAAACAAGCTATGGAATTATTCCACATGACCTGGGCATCGGATGAATCTAAGTAAGGCAAAATTGTTCTACTCTACCAACACTAACTATCAACTAAAGCTAGATTTGTGTCAAGAAATAGAGATTGGATTCACTCATGACCTTGGCAAATAGCTAAGAGTCCCACTACTCCACCAAAGAATTGGGAAAGATATATTTGCCCCTCTCATAAATAAGGTCAAAAACAGACTTACCAGCTAAAAGGGTACATTTCTAAATAAAGCGAGTAGAACAGTGCTTGTCAAGTCTGTTTTACCAACTCTCCCTTCCTCTATGATGCAAACTATGCTAATTTCAAAATCCATCCTTCATGAAATTGAAAAATATTGCCGAAGATTCTTTTGGGATGAGTATGAAGATAAGTCAAAACTTCACTTGATTTCTTGGATGTCATCAAAGGCCAGAAACATGTTGGCAAGCTAGGTATAAAAGACCTTACATTGCAAAACAAAGCCTTCATCATGAAATTATGTTGCGGTTTAAATGATTGTCTTTAGGTAAGGTGCTTGAGAGCTAAATATAATTGTTGCAATGATGAAGTCCTTTTGGTGACCTTGAAACGCTCTTCTTCTCACATTTAGCAAAGCATTGCTTTGATGTGGGAGGTTTTCTTATAAGGGATTGGCAAGAAGATCAACAATGGCTTATAAACTAACTTCTAGTGGGACCAATGGGCACCAGTTAGTCAACCTCTCATTAATTTGGTCTCTAATCCTAATCACCAAATTAACCCCCAAGCAAAAGTCTCTGATTTCATATCCCCTTCAGGTAGTTGGAATATGGCTTCACTTCATATGTTCTTCCTTGAAAACATCATTAGGAAAATCACTGTTGTTCCTCCTTGCATCAATCCTTAAAATGACACTTTTTGGTGGAGACCTAGGAAAGATGGGAAATTTTCAATTCAGGCAACTTATAATTGTTTGAAGAAGAATACAGCCAATGATCACAACCCTATTTGGGCAAATCTATGAAAATGGCCTCTACCTGAAAAGATGAAATTTTCTTTTGGCAAGTACTTTATGAGAAAATTCCTTGTAACCGATGGAGAGCAATGAGAGGTTTCTCTGGAAATGCCAACTGCCCCTTTAAGTGTGACTATGAGGAATCTATTACTCATATCTTGAGAGACTGTATGGGAGCAAAAAATTTATGGAAGGAATGGATTAACCCATTCTTCTCATGCAGCTTATAGGACTAGATAAAATGGAGCACAAAACATTATATTGTTGGCGGGAAACTTAAATATTGGCCCTGGATTCGTGTCTTTGGTTTGGTTGCTATGGACTTGTAGATGCAAAGATATCTTTGAAGGAACTCAACACAGCATGAAAGTATCCTTAACATGTGTCAAAGGAAGTTGATGGAGGAAAGAGATCTCAATCAACTCAAGTTGCATTGTACCTTAATTAACATACATGGTTGTCGATGGATAGCACTTGTCTAATGAACTATAAGAATGGACGTGGATGCTTCTCTGATCGGAAATAACAATGCTGCTTGTTGTGGATTAGCCAGAAATTCAGAAGGTGAATGGATAAGGGGCTTCACTTGTAACCTTGGTAATATCCCTATCAGTATAACAGAGGTCAAAGCTATCCAACTAGGAATGGAGACTTGTAGAAGTAGGAAAATTGAGAAAGCCCACATTTTTTCAGATTCATTTGATGTTGTCAATTTTTTCTATAAAGGAGTTCTAGATTCCTACCCCTTCTATGAAGAGGTTACAGTTGTACAGGAGTTGATTGTCACTCAACAAGATTACAAGATTCTCCATGCCCCTCGTGAAGCTACTCTTTATGCTGATTTTCTTGCAAAGCAAGCCCACCATCATCCTTGCGATCTAATACAACTGCTTGAAGCCCCTAGGGGATGTGAAGTTTATCTCCTAGCTAACAAGAGTGGGATTATACCCATAGCTTCTAACATTATCTAGTTTTATCACTAGCCTTTTCAAAAGAAAAAAATTTAATGTTCTTCGCATCCCTAGATATAAGAGGGTTTTTAAATTTTTTTACTTTTAAATGTAAAAGATTGTTAATATATTTTTGAAAAAATATAACTTTTGATCCCTACATGTTGTTCGTGTTTTGTTATATGTTCCTGCACTTTTTTTTATATTTTAAGTCCCTGCACTTTTATTTTTTGATGTTCTAGATCTCTAAATGATCAAAGTGTAGAGATTTTAAATGAATATAAAATACCAAAAATGAAAGTGTAGAGAATCAAAATATTGAAAAAAAGTGTAGGGACATATAACAAAACAGAAACAAAGTGTATGGATAAAAAGTTATGTTTTTTCTATATTTTTTTAATGAATGAATCATTATATTGTTATTAAATTAAAAAAAAAGATACATACTCTGATTAATTTATTTTAAAATTTTTTATATATGATTAAGAAAAATTAAAATATTATTGTACTTTTAATTAGATAATTAATTTTTTATTGATTTACATGATTTAATTAAAAATATTTTATTTACAAGGATAGAGGTAGTATGTTATAAAAAATAAATTTTAATTTTTTAATTTATATAAATTTATGTAAACAACTTATATACTTGTTGGCTTGCATAAATTGTTCTTCTTCTTCTTCTTGTTTTTTTTTTTTAAATCTGAGTAACTTATTATTCTGCATCTAGTAACTTAGGATGATGTATCCATGTAAATTTTTGTTAGTAAATTTTAAAATTTATTTATCAATTTCATAATTTTTCCCTTCCTCAAGAAATTGAATTAAAATTAAAATATTATTGTAAGGCTGATCTTTTAAAGACAAAATGTACATAGAACTCTTTAAAATCGAACGAATTAAACGAAAGTAAAAGCTAATTAGAGATACCCTTTTATTGTTTAGCAAATTCTGCGACGAAATTACATATAGTCCCTCGTTATTTCACAAAGATTACATGTTCAACACAAATTAGGGTTTTGTGCAATCTTTGGGTAAAAACGACACCGTACCAGCGTCAAGATCGTATCCCACTAAGAAATTCGCTTGAGCCAAGTTCCCATATATGGGAGGATTGCTCCCAGCTTGAGTCAACGAGAAACACACCACATCTTCGGACACGCGAACAAACGTATTCAATGAACCCAAATTCACATCACCACCATCGAAATGTGCTGTGAGATCTGGAAAATTAAGGTCATCACTAGCAGAATAACATGGACTCAAACCCAAACCGCTCGGGCCTTCCACTGTCTGACCGCCGACGGCTTTCTCCACTGCTGACGACACCTCGTCGTAGAACTCAGTCGGCAGATAAGTTAAGGTTGTCCCTGAATCGATAATAATGTTCCCTTTAGTATCACTAGTTGCATCTGGAGATATAACTGTCGAACCTTTGTAAGCAATTCTTGTGTGTCCGACGCTGATACTTTCCAACGTAAGGTAGTAGAAAGTGTCTGGGCTTTTTGATACCAGAGGGGTCTTCACTGTACCAGAACCAGACACGACAGCGTCACGACCAAGGCTTATTTTGCTCGACGCATTCGACGAGAAGGGGAGTAAACAGTACGATAATTTCTTCTCGTCCAACTGAGAAACAAGCGAGAGTGCTCCTCCTCCTAGCCCGACAAGACCAGACGAAGACGAATCGAATGTCCCAGAACTATCATGTGCACACCCGAACGCTATTTTATTGAAAGACGCGGGATTTTTACTGCCTATCGTCAATGTTTCAGTGGACAGATCTCCAGAAGTTTGAGAGCCATCTCCATAAGAGTAGCTATACCCACATGTTGATCCGTCATTACTGCATGAGGCGTGTTCTAGGGCCGTACAAGTACTAGATTGGCATGAGACTTTCTTGTACGTCGAGGATTTGTTAGGATCAAAGATTGGAAGGTCTTGTTCGAAACATTCTGTGCAAGGCAAGCACTGTGTCCATATGAGGTCACTGCCTGTATCTGCGATCCCAAGAACCTCAACAGGTGGTGTTCCTATGGATACGTTCATGAGGTAGGATCCTCCACCGGATATGATCTGTGTCTGGATTTTGCTACCTCCGAGGTTTGAAAGTACTGACTTGATATGATTCGCACGTGTTAAGGATCGTTCTAGAGCATCGTGCAAGCGATCGAAATAGGTCTTTGAGGCGTTGTAGAAAGGAGACGAAGGAGAATCACGAGGAACGAGATCAACTGTGACACCAGAAGATTTCAGAGGATGGAGAGTTGTAAAGAGAAGAAATATGATCGATAAAAGAGGTTGGGATTTGTTAGTGGACGCCATGGTTGAAGGAATTAAGATGGAGATATAATTTTGTTGCTTTGTTTTGCAGAATTTATAGACGGAGATTAGTGCAAAGCCTTGATTAAAATCAAATATCGAGGTATAAAAGTTAATAATGAATAGAATTATTTTCTAACGGAATGATATTAACATGTGCCTTTTTTAATTACCTCTTTTTAAGAAAAGATCCATGGTATGATATCCGATTCATTAATAATTAATTACTAATTAATTTGAGAAGGCCATGGACGTTGAAGGAAGACGTCTCTCGCGTATACATAAAAAGAATGTTGCACTTGCATAATTTATAGACAGAACTCGAAAGGCCCATTAAGGATGTCTATTATAAAGAAGGATACAGAAATTTTTTTAAAAAAAATATCAAGAAATTTTTATTTATTCATTTCTATTATTTTTTGATCAATTAAAAATTAAAATTAACTTTTATTAATAATATATAAAGATTAAATTATATTATTTTTAAAAGCCGAATAAAAAGCTTGCATCAAAAATGAATTTAGGGTAATGTTTCAAAAACCATAGTCTATGAACCAATTTATTCTTTTATCTTAAAATATATGTGTGTATAATGCAGGATATATTGAATTAAATTTTTTATACATTATTTCTTCGTAAATATCAAAGTTTACTAATCCCACATGTACGCACATCTTTGGGCACCAATTTCCTGTCGTGGTAATGGGTAATGAGGTGGATATCCCACTTTATTTTTCCTATTTATACACTCTTTGCATTCAATTGTTTCTTATGTTGGAGATTAGAGAAGCATTGGATGTGTTAATCAGAGAAAAGCATTGGATGTGTAATCATTAAAAAAACATTTTTTTATATTGCATGTACAAAGTTATAAACAGGGATTAAGGATAAAAAATATTCTTGAAGTGCACACGAAAATTACAAATGACCATAAACTCAACTAAAGATCAATTTTATCCCTTGACTTAGAATTTTGATTCCTCCATGCCCTGGCATTAATTATCCATTGGTGGAGAAGATCTCATGCATCTCAAGTTTAGTTGCATGGCAAGGGCAAGCTTCTTCCTTGTGTGCATAGGAGAAGATGCTGCTACTTTCGATGGTAGATGGACTCTAGAGAAGAATGGCGAGAGAACTTGAAGGCGGTGATGGGTATAGGCAGATGTAACTTGGGTTTAGCTCAGCGGAGGATGATGGTGAGAGTGAGAGCGTGAGCATAATGAAGGAAGTAGCTAATATTGTTAAGAATGGTGTTAACGAAGGGAACGGAAGAGAAAGAGGAGAAAGGTAGATGAAAGAGGGAGGGATGAGGTGTAAAAAATAATAAAAAATATGAAGTGGGTCCCACTAACGGATCATTAATGCTACGGTTGGAGAAATCAAAATTCTAAAGTCAAGAGATAAAATTGACTCTTGTTGAGTTTATGATTATTTATGACCTTTCATGTACACTTTAAGAACATTTTTTACCTTTAATCTTATAAACAACACGCTTTTAAAATTGAGTATATTCACCTGATCAGAAAACAAAAACTAGTCGAAGCTAGTACAAAAGTAAATAATAGTCTTCTATTAATTAAATGGAAATCAAACTCTAATCACTTTTTTTGAGAGATAAAAGCCACACTATGTTTGTTATTGTTTTTTTTCCCCTTTTGATAAAATAGGGATTTAGCCTAAATAGAAAAGTAGAAGGGAAAAGAAAAAGTTGTGTTTTGAAACTTGAACTTAGACCGGACAATTTGATTGCCACCCACTAATCAAAAATGGCTTGATCCAACTAGTTTGGACTAATCTAGCATTTGAATTGGGTTGACTCGATCAATTTTGAGAAAATTGAATTTGACCTATAAACCAAAGCAGATCAACCCGATTCAAATCCAAAAATGTAGACTAAGGATCCGTTTGGTTTTCCTCCATTTCACATTCAGAAAGTAAAATTTTACTTTTAGAAAGTTAAAAGTTGTTTGGGTAGAATATTTTGTAGGAAAGCACATTCTGAAAGTACATTCAAATAGTAGCTGAAAGTAAATTTTTGAAATGTAACTATTCAAAACTTTTAAAAAGTGAATTTGAAAAGTAGGATGTTATTTGACCATATCACCCTAAATTTAAAATCTTATTCTTTTATTTAAAAAATAGTTAATTCATTAAAAATATAATTATTATTATAATAATAATAATTAGGTATCAATTTTTTTAGAATTCAATTATAAATTGAATAATTAATCATGTTAATTTTTAGCATTAATGTGTAATAAAAATTACAAATCTTTACTACATCTTTTAAAATTAAAAATTAAAAAATACAAATAACTAGAGATCAAATTTTTAGTATTATAGATTAAAATTTATGTTATTTAAAATCTTTATTACATTTTTTAAATATTTTAAATATATTATATTTGTATAATAAAAATTATAAATCATTATAAATCAATGTCTTTTTCAGTAATTGTACATTCAAAAGCATATTTTACTATCATAAACCAAACAACTTTCAATGTATCAAATTGAATTTTAAAAAAATATATCCAAACATAAATTTCGTTACAATAACTGACTTTTGTTAAACTGACTTTTACCAAATGAACTTTTTACAAATTGAAAACCAAACACACGCTAAGTTGCTCAGATTCACGTTTTCTCTTTTCTAATTTCTCGTTCTCTTCTGTCTTCTCTTCTCCTATCTCTGATCTCTCCTCCATAACCTAGACTTAATCTTTAATCTCTCCTTTAGCTTTTGCTCCAGCCTTTAGTATTGAAATCGAAAGCCTGTAAGTTGTGACATAATGACGTGCCTCCAACTCTAGCATTTTGCTTAAGATCGCAAGCTTGTATTGACATGCCTTTACCTCTAGCTATCCAAGCATCTAGCATTTGGTATTGAATCCCAAGCACCATCAATAAATTAATATTTTATTTATATATTTGTGTATATAAATATTATTTTTATTTAATCTTCACATTACTGAATCAACCATTGATTTAACCGATTGAACTATGAAAATCATGATTTATTAATCTTTTTGGTTTAACATCCGATCTGGGTTTCAAAATATTGAGAAAAAGATACTACACCATGAGCAAGTGATGGTACCCAAACACTCCTTATATCTATATGTATAGCAAATTAGAAAGTGGGATTGAACACCTAATAGCTAGTAAGCTTGACTTTACCTCGAGTCATGGCCAAACACCAAGCTAGGATCATGCCTTGCTTGTCTAAGACATGTACACATTTTTTTTGCATTTTTTATAAAAAAATAATTTTATAATATTATATTTCATGTAACATCTCATTTTTATGATCATCATTGATACTCTTTTATGATTTTACTTTTTCATAGTAATTTTCTAACTTAATAATGTATAAAAATGATGAATAAATCTTAAATAAAAATTATTACTTGTGATGTCATCTTACTATTAGTTTTATTTAAAAAATATATTAAATATTGAGGATAATTATATTTTTTATTGATTAGAAAGTTTTGTTCATTATTTCTTCAAATATTTTTTTAAAAAACTTTGAGTTAGGCCGAACCCAACCCAAACAATTGGATATTGGGTTGGCCTGAATTGCACATCAAATAAGGCAACAAGTTTGGGTAAAGTCTAGTCCAACTTATTTCATGTGCGTTCCTTTAAAAAATTCATGAGTATATTTTAAATAAAGCCAAAAAGGCTCAATAAAACATTTACATATAAATGTGAAATAAAGGAAAAGTCAACTCTAGTATCAATTTCCTTATAATCTCTTATCATTAACATAAATCCATGCAATGTATAATGTAATTAATTAATAATTAATGTTTAAAGCAATCTTTGGATAAAAATGGAACCTCACGGGCCTCAACATCATACCCAATCAAAATGTTTCTCTAAGCCGAGTTCCCGTATCCATCATGGACAAGCAAATCTAACAAGGTTATGGGCCACTTGAAGAAACGTATTAAATGGTTATAACTCGACATCGCCACCTTTGAAATGAGCCATCAAAATTGGGATATTAAGGTTGTCAACAGTACTAGATTCGCTACAAAGACCCAGAGCATGTTTTGGGTCATCCACCTTCTCACCATCGATTGCTTCTTCCAAAGCCATTACCAAATCAGCAAAAAACTCAGATGGCAGAAACGTTAATGTTGTTCCTAAATCGATAATAACATTACCTTCAGTTTCATTTACTGCATCATGATCATTATCATGAACTACTACTGTTGAATCTTTATATGGGACTCTCTTGTTTCCTACACTCATACCATCTAACGTAAGGTAATAAAAAGTGCCTTGTCCTTTTGATACGATACGGGTTGTGACATCACTAGGACCAGACACGACAGCATCACTCCCGAGGCTCATAATGCTGGAGGAGACAACATTAGACAAGGTCGAAGAAACTGGAACTGGACAATACAAGAATCTTTTGATGCCCAGAGACTTACCAAGTTGAGAAACAAATGAGATTTTCCCACCTCTTAGACCTACAAGACTAGACATGGACCCATCAAATAACCTAGTAATGTCATGAGCACACCCAAAAGCGATATTCCAAAGAGAAACTGGGTTTTCTATGCCTATTGTGAATGTATCAGAGGAAAGAACTCCAGAAGTTCCAGAGCCATCTTCATATGCGAAGGGGCTGCATGCTTGGTCCAGATCATACAGGCACTAGATTCTCGTGAAACTTTCTGGTACGATGATGAATGTTTAGGATTAAAGATAGGAAGTTTTTGTTTGAAACATTCTGTGCATGGCAAGCACTGTGTCCATGTAAGATCACTAAGGTATCAGCAATCCCAAGAACCTCAAAAGGTGGTGTTCCTATGGATATGTTCATGAGGAATTCTCCATTATCTTTACTTTGTACAATCGTGGTTTGGAATTTGCTTGTTCTTGGATTTGCAAATACTCTTTTGCAATTATTAACGTGCTTCAAGGAGCGTTCAAAAGAATCATGCAAGCAATCAAAATAGGTCTTTGAGGCATTGTAGGAAGAAGATAAAGGAGAATCACGGGGTATGAAATTGACTGTGATTCCAACATTAGCAGTAGATTTCAAGGGATGGAGACTTATTATTATAAGGAGATGAAGAATGATTGAGAAGGGCAAAATAATAAAAAGAGGGGATGAGTTAGTGAAAGCCATATATGGTTGAAGAGATATATAGATGAAGACCGAGTGTGGCTGTTGCAGAATTTATAGAGATAAACTTGATTTGGCGATACAATATGTGATTGTGATTCATCGCATGTATATATGTAAAAATTGCAGGTGTATTAATTAATGAATCCTATCAGTTATTGAACTTTGGAAAACTTCTACATAAAAATACAAGTTACTAGTTGACTTTTCTTTTTTGGGGTCAATATTTACTAGTACTGAGTGGCTTATTGGTGCAATGTCTAAGCAATTTGACTATTTTTGTTCAATATCCGTGCAGACAAGCGCGCATCTCGTTTTCATTTTTGGTAATTGCATCACACAAGATCTTATTCAATGTTAGCTGAAAGAAAGATCTTTGTTCATTGATGGCCAAAGATGAAAATTTATCCTAAATTTTTTCTCTAGAGACGCCTGATATTTTTAACTTTTTGTTGGAGCAATGTTGCCTTGAAATTCTTTAAAATAGTGTAATGTTGCCCTGCCGTTAGAATTGACGTTTTGTTTGACCACGTGGCATTTTTTAAAAAAAATTAAAAAATGGTATCTTAGAACTTTTCCTCTTGAGGTGCTTGTATCATCAACTTTTTCTAGAAGCAATGTCGTATCGAAATTCTCCAAAATAGTGCAATATTGTCTTGTTGTCAAAGTTAACTGTTTGTTTGATTTCACTTGCCACAAGAAAATTTTAAAAAATTAAAAACAAAAGAGCTATGCTTCATCCTCATCATCATCATCATCTTCTTTTTCATCCACAATACTAAAAATGCAAAATAACATAGAATACTAAGATGAAAAATCAAACTCATATTTTCAACATAAAAAATCAATCAAGAAAAACAATTGAACCTAAATTTTCAACATCAAAAAATAATCAAAGACAAGGGACAAGAGGAAGAAAATAAAGAACATAACTCAAGAACCCAACAATTTAAGAATAGTACAAAATATCTAGAAAAACAAGAACAAAAAATTAACAACTTAGATTAACCAACACCAAGTAAGGAGAAGTAAACATGGTCTGATGGGCAACATGAATCTCCACAAAACTAGGCACTTTCAATAAAAAAATCAGAACTTCCAATTCTAATACCAACAATTTTCAAACTTTGAAGCAAAAATATTAAAAATCTAATGGAAGAAGCTATGGCTCTTCATTGGCCTTGGGTTTCTCATGAGCATCATTAGCTACTCACTTCTATGGCTTCTCATGTGGGCGATGGCTATGGGGCTTCTCATTTAGTTTTTGTCTTGCAAATGCCGACGGTGAAAGAGGGAGGAATGAAGATAAGAGGAACAGCCAACTGTGAAGGAGGGAGAAAGATGTGCAACTAAGACACAAGGATGTAGGGGGACAGCGAAACAGTTACTGTGAACTAGTGAGTGATGTGGACAACTGAAGAAGTTAGAGAGCTAGGGATGCTTTGATAGAGACCACCTGTATTTGCATTTTTTTTATTTTTTAAAAATATCACATGGCAAGTGAAGTCAAACAAAACTGTCAACTCTGATTACAAAACAACATTGCACTTTTTTGAAAAGTTAGGAGCAACATTGCTCCCTAAAAAAGTTGAGGATACTAGACACTTGTGAAGGAAAAATGTCAGGGTAAATTTACACCTTTGCCGTTTTTTAATTTTTAAAAAGTGCCATGTGGCAACCATATAGAAAGTCTAGTCAAACAAAACAATTAATTCTGATGGCAGGGCAATATTGCATCGTTTTGGAGAGTTTGCTCCCAATAAAAGTTAAGATACCAAGCATCTCTAAAAAAAAGTTTCAGAGCATATTTACACTTTTACCACTCATTAATTTTGGCCGTATGTATGCATGTATGTATATTGTTTGTCTTGTATTCAATATGTTCTTGTTTTTTGGACTGAATATACTTTACTTTGTCAATCACAATGAAAGATATATAAATGTGAACCTCATTATTAATGAATAAAAGCTGTGTTACGTTTTAATTATAATTATAATTTTAATATAACGAAAATTAATGCAGATTAAGATAAAGTTGTCTTTTGCTTGGTGATGTTGATTTTAATACTATGCAACTATGGAATAGCTTAATATCATTGTATGCTTTAAGAGAAGACAAAACGGAGAGGTAAGGAAGTCAAATTTAAACAAAGAGATACAGAACACATTACATTATCCCAGGAAAAGAGAAAAGGTAGAGAGACACAGAAACGACACGTCAAGCTTTTGTTCAGCAAATTTAATTTGTTTGGTGAACTTGCACACATATCCCTCAAATAAATTCGAAAGTGCCAATCCTTAGGCAAAAACGACCCCGTCCAGCCCCCAAGTTCATCGTGCCGTACGCGTTGAAGGAGAAAGAAAGTTGAAATGAAAGTCGTGAAAATTTGAAGTGTTGTTAGCCCTAACAGGCTATTAAGTATTAAATTAAGATAGTTAATTATGATTATGATAAACACCTTAAACATAAAATTGGAGTCATGCTAAGTATTAAGCCGAGCAATTAAACAACCTAATCAAACTATGTTCTGTTCAAATTCTTTCTTGCACAATGAAAGATAATTCAACATAATTTTAATATAGAAAAACCACTGCAAAGATAAATCGTGTTTCGTTTGGTGACGTCCCTTGATCTTAGAACGATACAACTAATAATGTGGTATGAATATAGCCTAATTTTACTTTAAGAGTAAGACAAAACGATTTTTTATTCCGACAAAAAAAGGAAAGGTGCAATGAAGTCGAAAAGAGAGATAAGCAAAGAGAACACATAATTCCAAAAAAGAAAAAAGAAATTAAACACATAAACGAACGACCTTTTATTTAGCAAAGTGATAATTAATCATCCACACAAACAAATCAGTTCAACAATTACTGTTGTGTGCAATCCGTAGGTGAAAACGACACCGTCCTGGCCCCAAGGTCATAGCCTACCAAGAAATTCATCTGAGCCAAGTTTCCGTATATAGCAGCATCTGGGGTTCCAACCATCGAAAAACATATCAAACCTTCATCGACCTGAACAAAAGTATTCAAAGGCTGCAACTTCACATCCCCCCCATTGAAATGTGCCGTCAGAACAGGCAACCTAAGACTGTCCCCACTGGATGCATTATAACAAAGACCAAAAACGTTGTTTGGATCTTTCGCCAATGTCTCATTCACCGCTTTCACCACAGCCTTCTCTACATCGTCATAAAACTCAATAGGCAGAAACGTTAAGGTTGTTCCTGAATCGATGATAATCTCATTTGCAGGAACTAGAGTTGTTGAACCTTTGTATGGAATTCTCTTGTTCCCTACACTAATGGCTTCCAATGTCAGGTAGTAGAAAGTGCTAGGGTCTCTTGTTACTAAAGGAGTCGTGACTGCACCAGAACCAGACACCAAAGCATCGTCCCCGAAGCTTATTTTGCCGGATACATTGTTCGAGGCGGTCGAGGATGTCGAAGGAACTAAGCAGTATGAGAATTTCTTGCCAACAGACTCATCTAACTGAGAAACGAATGAGAGTCTTCCACCTCCTAGACCTATAAGACCAGACTGAGACGCATCAAACGTCCCAGCATTGACATGGCCACACCCGAACACGATGTTCCTAAGCGGAACCTTGTTTTCGATGCCAAGGGTGAATGTCTCCGAGGATAGATCTCCGGTAGTGTGGGACCCATCTCCATAAGAATAAGTATACACACAGATGTTCTGTTCTCCGACACATTGCGGGGGTCTATCTAGTGCTTGACAGGAACTAGATCGGCATGTTAGTTTCTTGTAAGTGGATGATTTACGAGGATCAAAGAGAGGAATGTTTTGTTTGAAACATTCTGTGCATGGCAAGCACTGTGTCCATGACAGATCACTGCCTGTGTCTGCTATTCCTAGAACCTCAAAAGGTGGTGTTCCTATTGAAATATTCATGATGAATTCTCCACCACCTGGCAATATCTGTGTCTGGATTTTGCTTTCTGCTGTTGAAAGTATTGATTTGAAGTGGTGGATACGCTTAAATGAGCGTTCGAATGCATCATGCAAGCGATTGAAATGGGTCTTTGAGGGATTATAGAATGGAGATGAAGGGCAATCACGAGGCATGAGATTAGCTGTGAGACCAGTATTAGCAGTGGATTTAGAAGGAAGACGAATAAGAATGTGGAGGAGGAGGAGGAAGGTGAGCACAGAGTAAAGAGGTTGGATTTTGGTGGTGAAAGCCATTGTTGAAGGAAGGAGATAAGGTGCTAAAAAGAAAGTATTGATGTTTCTGATGAATATATGGAAATGAAAATTTTGGCCTTTAAGATGTGAATTATGAGAGTAAAATCGGGAAGCTCAAGCGTGAAATTGCTTGATCTTCGTGTCAAAAGAAACGTTACAGATGTTGATGGTAATTTGGTGAGTCACAGTCTTGTTTGTTTTGCGATCTTCATGTAATGCTTGCTCATGATCTTTACGTTACTGTTTTAATCCCATAATTGTGTAGGTTGGTTTGCTACTGCCAACCACTCGAGCCTTCAAAACGTATATTTGGTTGAATGAACAGTGATCGATCAGTATCTGAAAAGTTGCAGTATATTAAATTGCTGTTTTTAAATTGATCTATGATGATGGGTACAATGGTTTGAACAATTTATGCAATGTCTTAAATTTAAAAAAATTTCATGTTCTCAACCCGTCCAAACGAATTCCATGTTCTTTTATATAGGATATTCTGTAAAATAAATAACAAACGATTACATAGTTTTTTAGTCAAAATATTAAAAAGAAAAATGATAATAAAATCTCTCTAAATTATATAAATGATAATTTAATTTTTTAAAATATTATAATTTCAATAAAATCTTTAAGAACTTCTCTTTGGCTTTTTTACCAATATTAACATTAAGAAGAGGGTGGGGATTGAGATCCCATGCAATCATTAAGCACCAAGTCCCTCGGATAAGAGGGAACACTATCTAAGAAGGAAGATATAGATACATCCTCTTTGGCAAGTCTATCCGTTGCTATTTTTTTTTTTGGTATAAACTATCTGGTATTTTAGGGTATTCTGGATTCTTTACTTGCCCCAGACTAATCCGGACTCCCCACGAGGAGACCTTACAATAATAGTGAGGTACCGATGGGACAACTTTTTGACGTTGTGTTAATTATTGTGTTTGTCACTTCTCAAGGTTCGAACTCTCGCCCTGAGAAATGCCGGTAATAACCCTTACCAACTCTATCGAACGTTCATTGGTATCCGTTGCTAAATTTTGGTTCCTTGGAATGTCCTCGGGGTTGAACTTGGGCTTCACATTCCAATCAAGCTTTAGCAACTTTATAATCTCTGTGATAACTGAGATGTGGTTGCGATTTTGTTTACCCAATCCGCGGAAGGATTCTGAATGCCGCCATGCAAGTAAGGTATTGGATTTTCAAACTCATTGGAGGCCGAAATGTCGTTGGATCAAGTCCGAGCCCACGTTGTAAAAATTCAACTAAATAACATTATCCTAGCTAGTAAGAACCTGATCTATTCTCGCACAACCTAATAGTAGAATCTCTTGCATCAATAATTAGTTGTCCTAATGACAACATTGTCTCTCCCTCTTGAAAGAAGTACGGGGTTTGAATCTGATATTAACATGTGTTGTGTCTTACTTTATGTATACAAGTAAACTTCATATCATATCTTAACTCAAAATTATAAATTATGAGGAATTTTATGTTGTATATTTCTTATTAAACCTAATTCTATCTATTGTGAATTTCTCACAATTTATTGTTTTTACCTATCAAACTAGATTTAACACCCGTGCATGCAAGGGAACATTAGCCCTCTATTTTATTCAAGAAAAATGAAGCGGAAGGGAAAAAAAAAAGTTCTAATTATCTCAAATTTTTCCCAAAAATATGATATTATAAAATTTTGAGAGAAAATGTAAGAAAAAAGAGTAAAAAAAATTAATTTAAAACTTTCTATAATCTCAATTTTTCCCAAAAATATGATATTATAAAATTTTGAGAGAAAATGTAAGAAAAAAGAGTAAAAATAATTAATTTAAAACTTTCTATCCAACTTCTTCAATGTTTTAAATCGAGTCCAGTAATCCCCTCCATTCCCCTCAAATAATTAAAACAAACTATAAGAATTAATAGAAGTTAAATATTAATAAATTACCAATGGGAGATGGGTTTGGCAAATCAGGCTAATCCTTCACAATATTACAAACTAAAAAAATTAATGGAGCAGCATATCTACAATTATTTAATAATATTTAAATGAAAATCTATTTAATTTAACTATAAAAAAATAATTTTAAGATATGCAATTCTTAGAAAGAGGAAGAAAAATGTGGGTAACTCTCAATTGCCAATCATTGTAGAACTACAGTGAAGCTCTCACGGTAATTACAAAGGAGGGAGATTAAAGTTAATCCAATCCATTCACGCCTCAATTAGAGATTAAAGTTTATATATATATATATATATAAACCCAATGTCACCTCTCAGTAAAAAATCTCGAGATTATGAGTTATGTACCCTTTCACTTAAAACAACTCTTATTTACACTAGCTCCAGGCTCTGGCCATCTAACGTGAAACTTCCTAAGATGAAACACTCTTGTCTCACATTTGACATTCGATCATCGTGTTATTATTTACCCAAGCCAGTAATAGAATTAAAATCCTTGGCTCCTTGGCGAGTGCTTTCTTTGACTGACTGATCTTCCTCTGTAATCGCATGGAATGCTTTCCTTTTCTGTGATAACTTTTTCGCGACTCTTCCAAATTCCAATGCCATAAAACAAAGCAGCCAATATTCAAGGGAACTTTCTAGACAGCAATTAAATGCATTTTCAACAGCAAAACAGATCCGAAAGTTAATTAATTTAACCCAATTTATACAAAACACTCATCAAACTGAGCAAAAACAAAATGGCAAGCTGACAAAAGGGGTGGGAGTGGAATCATATCAAGTTTGAGTTTAGGATATAAAACCGCTGCAATCATAGTGATCTGCAATATACAGCAAGACATTGTGATGAAGATGATGATACAAGGTCTGTTTAAGTATAACGACGAGAACATAATGAGAACCATCTCATAATAAAATTACCAAAATTCCCAGTATAATCCCATCTTATAATAACAATTACAAGACAAACACCAACCTCTGTTGTATAAATTTGATAAGCAATATGTGTATGCCTACATATATAGAATAAGCGGTCAGTATAAGAAGTCTATTTTTCATGAAGAGTAAAACGATAAGAAGAAAGAACACGAAAGACCGAATATATACTTATCTGTAACCTAATCATCACTTAGATCATCCTCAATGGCCGAAGCGCTCATCCTCGCAGATGCTTGCTTAGCCCACTGGACGATTTTCTCAGCCTCGCGGTTTATCTTCTGTTCTTCCTTAATAGCCTTCTTCAGCATTTTCTGCTGGTGCTTACTCGACAAACTGCCTATATCAGACAAAAACTCATCGTTTTTGTCCCAGCCTAGAATATTCGCCACCGAATCCCAATTTTCCTTGCTTTTCTTCCTAGAATCCTTCTTCGGATAGCACCAGAAACAACCAGCCTTGCGAGGGGGAGATGGTGAACGATCCATCAGCGAATTTGTAGAGCTCCGAGGAGAAGACTGAAACTCACCTTTTGATTTTTGTTTCGAACACTTTTTTCCATAGAGTTTTTGTTGGAACAGCGAAGATATTGAACTTTCTTCCGAAGAATTTGAAGAATCAGAAGGAGAAGAAACAGAGCCGCGTTTAGATTTTGCTTTCACCTCCTCTTTCCTACAGGAACTCTCCTTCTCCGGCGAGAATTCCACTTTATCGGCCGTCCAAATATCTGAGGAATCCGACATCGGTCCAGACCGTAACTCTCCGTCCAAACCCATCTTACCCTCCTTGAAGGGTGAAAATTGAGGAGTTTGCTCATTAGATACAAAAGTAGATCCTGCTTTTCCCTTCGCCGAATAGTTGGAGGTCTTAGGATTCTGCTTTGCTTTAGTGACCGGAAACGATTTGAGTTTGCGGAATCGGGATTCAAGGTCGGTAGGGAGGACGGAATCGGTGAAGGAAGCGCAATTGATGGCGGAAACTTGCTCCAAAACGCAGGCATCTTGGGCCTGAGAGATGATTTCGTCGATGGCCGACTCGTCGGTATCGGAAAGGTCTGGAAATCCAACCATTTCTGCCACAGGAGAGGAATGAGTCGGCGCTGTGAGTGTTAGTCGTTAAGTGATTAGTGAAGCACTCTTTTCTAAGCGAATGGTATGAGAGCGTGTTGGAATGGCTGGGACGAGACGCTTAACGGCTAGCCAGCACCATTTTCGACTCATGGGACCCACCACGATGATGAAGGGGGACCCGCGGCCTGGTTTTCAGGATTCTTCAAGTTAGGTAATTTTTTTTAAAAAAATCTCTTAGACAATTATTTGGGTTTTTTACCAATATACTACAATCAGTTAAAAACATTGTTGAAATACTATATCATGAAAAATATTTATTCAAATACTATATCAAAAACCATTCAGATTGAAAATAAATTTGTAGCTATGAAAAAATTATTCAGACTCAGAACAATTTTATAGTTAAAAATTATTTTTTTATTTAATGAAAAGTGAAATCATTCACCTGGTGAACGATTTCAGTTTTTTTATTGATGTATCATTTTATTCACTATCAATTATTAGCATCTTTGCTTTCCCTTCTTGCTTTGCTTTTCTCACGCTATTCATTTAAGCATAGGATAAATTATCACTTATTATTATTAATGCTCCTCAAGTACTCGAATGGTTTGATAGAATATATGAGTACATGTAATGGTATTAAGGACATATCTAACAATGGATATAATGTATTAGTAGTGACTGCAGTAAGTTTTTCACCTTCTTTCACTAGTACCATTGAGTAGGAGTAGGTGAGTTGAAAAGTGATGATGATGAGGGTGGTACACAATGAGGCTCAAATTGAATAGGATTGGAAGAAGTGAAAGGAGGTGTTGATAATGATAGACTAACATGTAATGAGATTAATTAAAATTTTAAAGCTTTTGCTTTCTTCCATTTTCATTTTCAATTTGTGGTTGGGCAGACAAATAATTGCCACATTACTTGCTCGATTTATTTCGAGAAATTTATAGATTGGACAGCTCAATTTTTGATAGAGCATGCTGAGGGTCCTTATCAAATTGTTGTTCTCTCGTTACAAGTAAGATATTGCATTGGTCGTGAGCAATTATATCTCAATAATCAATTTAATGAGAGCACTCTGAATGAGAATTAATTACTAGCTAGTATAAATTTTTTGTTATATCAGTCTAAAATAAATAATAAGACATTATTAGATTGTAACAATTTTTTATAAAATAAACAATAAGACATTATTAGATTATAACAACTTTTTATAAAGAAAAAAATATAGTTCTAGTGGAAGAAAGTAAAAAACTTGCCACATACCCATATCACTACTAATACATTGGATCTCATTATTGGGTATGTCTTCAATACCATTGCATATGCTCATATATTCTATCAAATTCTTCAAGTGTCGAAGGAGCATTAATAATAGCAAGTAACCATTTATCTCTTGCTTAAATGAATTGTGCGGGAAAAGCAAGGCAAGGAAGGAAAGCAGAAATACTCACAGTTGGCTAGTGAATGATTTTACTTTTCATTGAATAAGAAAATAATTTTTAATTATAAAATCATTCTTGGCCTAAACAATTTCTTCATAGCCACAAACTCATTTTTGGTCTAAACAATTTTTAATGTAACAATTGGATAAATATTTTTCACAATACAACATTTTGATAATTTTTTTTACTGTTTGCAGTATATTGATAAAAAAGCCTAATTATTTTTGTAACAAGGGAATAAAATAAAAATAAAATAAAGCCAGAACATAAAACTATAAGAAATCTATTCTAATCCAAATCTAAATCTAAAACAAAAAATGAGAAATGAGAAAATTATTTTTTAAATTTTAAGTCTAATAGCACCATAAATTTTTTATTTGTTTATTATGCAAATTATTCTCTCAACTTTTAAAATGATGCAATCAAACACCTATCATTAACAAAAATTAATTTTAATCATTAGTTAATCAAAACATGATAGAAAAGACCCTAAAAAATTACAAAAAATAACCACAAAAATTTTTTGAGTCATTTTTTTATATTTTTGAGGTTTTTTTCTATCATTTTTTCATTAACTAATCTTTAAATTTAACTTTTATTAATGGTAGGAGCCAAATTATATTGTTTTTAAAAGTTGAAGAAATAATTTACATAATAAATAAGTTCATGATCTATAATGATACTAAACCTAAAATTTAAGAGATAATTTACTCATTTATCCAATAATAAGACGTGCAATAATAGAGAAACCTAGGATATAATAACATTTTAAAATATCAAATTAGCCTTGTCATGTTTCTTACAAAATATTAATTTCGTAGAGAGTTTGCCGTGAGAAGTAGTAGTTAAATATTAGACATGCTATGAAAGACTTTCATCCTATTTTGCTCTGTAATGTTAGGTATAAAATTATCACCAAAATTCTCTCCAACTGATTGTGTGTTTATATAAACCACTTAATTAGTGATAATTAACGTAGTTTCGTACGGGGGTGGTAGAGTAATGACAATATTATTATCAGTTAAGAAATTATCCACTCAATGAGAAATAAAATGGAAAAGAAGGGCTTCATGGCTATTATGATGGATCTTGAAAAGGCTTTTGACAGACTATCCTAGAATTTCATTGATGATACTCTTATATCAATCGGGATGAAATTGTCACTTTAGGAAATTAATTCAAGTTGCTATATCCACTTCACGCGTGAAAGTTCTATGGAATGGCGAACCAACTAAAGAATTCTCACATTCTCATGGAATTCATTAGGGGAATCCTCTTTCTCTTTATCTTTTTATCCTTTGCATTGAACGATTAAGCCATTGCATTCTTAATAGCATAGATAAAAAATGAGGAAGCCAATTAAACTAACACCTAATGGGTCTCCTATTTCTCACTTATTTTTTGTTGACAATCTGTTGCTTTTGCAGAGGTTCCACTTGCCCAAGCACAAACCATTCAGCACTGTCTTTTGAACTTTTGTAATGCCTCAGGATAGAAAATCTATACTAAGAAATATAAACTTTATTGCTCTAAGAATGTCAACATTAACAAAGCATTACAAATTAGAGATGAATTGGAAGTTCCCCTTACTAGTAACCTTGGCAAATATCTAGGAATCCCTTTTATTTATAAGAAAATTGCTAAGCTCACCTTTGCACTATTAATTGATAAGATGAATTCATGTCTGGCCAGCTAAAAAAGTTGCTACCTCAACATTATGAGAAAATATGTTCTTATTAAATTTGTCCTCTCGACTCTACCTAACTTTATCTTGCAAACCATACTCCTACCTGATAATATCTTGGTCGAATTTAGATAGAAATTTTTTTTGGGATTTGACTGATTGGAAGAAAAAATCCTACCTTTTATCTTGGGAATCGCTACTTTTGATAAACAGGATGGGGGTCTTGTCTTAAAAAGCTCAAAAAATCAAAATATTGCTTTCATAATGAAGCTCTACTAAGGCCTTATCACTAAACTGAATTGTCTTTGGGTACAGGTCTTACATGACAGATATAACTGCAAAAAACCCACTATCCCTATGGTCATTAAACTTAACTCCTACTCTTATACCTGGAGCAACATATGTAAAATCTAGGATAAATTCATGTCTTATATAAGTTAAAAAGTTGGCAAAGGTGAGACCAAATATCTTTCTAGTACAACAAATAGACTTTCTTACCTGACCTTCTTGTGAAGCATGCTTTCCACAATGCCAATCCTATTCTCCATGCTAAAGTCTCTAATTTTTTGTAACTTGATTGGTGGTTGGAATTTCGATACTTTATGACGTTATCTCCACCCTGAAGTAATTAAGCACATTGCCCTTATGCAACCGCCTAACCAGCATGGTGATGATGACACTCTTGTTTGGAGACCTTTTTCTTATGGTTGTTGGAAATTGTGCCTTAAAGCCAATCATTATACTATACACATTGTTATTTAATGAACTTTTCTTTTGTTATCATATCAATTGCATGCTCAGTATGATAATTGTATCCTTGGACAAACTATAGTGATTGTCCTAAATGTCTCTGGTCGGTCATCTTTGAGGGATCATAGATGAAACAAGATTAGTATGACTTTGATTAATTATAGAGATACAAATTAAAGTTAAAGGCACTCGAAAGAGTACAAGGTGCTGGATCAACCTGTTATGAGAAAGCTGCACCGTACAAGTCATAAGCTTATCTCATATGTAACTATATCACTAAGCCCTTTGACATGAGATTACCATGAATTCCTACAGAATGACCACTAAACTTTTACCTAGTTAAAAGTTACCTTTAACTGGGTGATCATAAAGGTTATGATTAAGTTTAGTAATATTCATGCAGAGAAATATGAGTGGTCAAGATAGAATTTGTCCCTTATATTAAGTTAGAGATATTACTGGGTTCCTCGATAAGTAAGATTGAGAAAATGTGTAGTCATACTATAATAGAAAGGGTTTTTCCATTACTACTGTCAGTCTACTTAGAGATGGAGAAAGTAATGGTCAGGTAAAAGAGAATGACAATTTTAAGTCTCATACTTGACCGAAATATCACGTGACAAAATGAATGTGATATGGTTACATGATAGGTTACATCGAATCATTGATCCCCATGTGAATTGGGTAGTTGTAATGTCTTACTAGAGATCACTTGTGACTTGTAGACTAATAGCGTAATTAGCCTACTACCAATTTTATATGGATCTATAAGATCGCATGCAAGAACAGCCAAACTCGAGCTATAATGTCCAAGTTCATTGAATCTAAAAATGTCTAGATTTAATGAATGTAATATAGGGTGAATGAATTATATATATATATTTGAATATTTATCTAATAAATATATATATTTATATGAAATATAAAATATAAAATATAATTATATATACACACACATAAGATATATATATATATCATATATGTATATGATATATAAAATTAAATATAGATAATATAATATATATATATATATATATTTGAAATATATATGTATATATAGTCGTATATATATAATATAATATATATATGTGATATATATTATATTATATTATATTATGTTAGTTTTAAATTTAATTTTATATGATAGATTAAATTTAATAATTAACATGATAAAAAAAATATCATGTTAGTTTTATAATTTAAATTTATAA